CGGGGTATGAAAATTATGGGGACCAAAATCGTACTAGAGAGTATAGCATGTCACACGAAATGCGTTATGCGCCTGATTGGCCATGGTGATGCGTGCGCGCGCCAATCAGGAGCCAACGCGCGGCCGCGTTATCGCAGGTGACGCCGGGCTGCTGCGTAGGCAGTCCGCCACAAAGCCTCGTACTGATCGCGCGTTTCTCTCATTATTGTATTTTCATATATTTGTTAGTCGTTTGTTTTGTGTCTCGTTAATTTGTTAATAATCTGTAGTGTATCGTGTTGTCGTTGTGGCGGGTAGCCATCATACAACGCAAGATAACTGACAGATGCCTGAATCTCGCTTACGACATTTTCAAGATAAAGCGCATATATACAAGTTCCGAACAACAACATTCGGACCGTCGGTCTACCGAGCAATATCATCCGCTCGGTGGAAGATCTTCCCTTTGTCGTCAAGCCTCCCAAATCGTAATATAGAACTATTTCTCGTATTGTTTCGTTTAATTTACCGACATCGTTTTGCTTGTGGCCGGACGCCGTTCGGGTTCGATTCCTGAACGTATCAACTGTTAGTGGGTTGATACCCGAATATAACCCGCTACAAATCATTTATTAATAAAGCTTATTAAATATAAACAATTCCTTCTATCAGTGAATGGACAACTNAATACGTACTCAACAAATGTTCACGATTGACTTCCACGGTGAAGGAATAACATCGTGTAATAAAAGTGAAACCCGCAAAATTATAATTTGCGTAATTACTGGTGGTAGGACCTGTTGTGAGTCCGCGCGGGTAGGTACCACCGCCCTGCCTATTTCTGCCGTGAAGCAGTAATGCGTTTCGGTTTGAAGGGTGGGGCAGCCGTTGTAAATATGCTGAGACCTTACAACTTATATCTCAAGGTGGGTGGCGCATTTACGTTGTAGATGTCTATGAGCTCCAGTAACCACTTAACATCAGGTGGGCTGTGAGCTCGTCCACCCATCTAAGCAATAAAAAAAAAAAAAAAAAAAGTAATCAAAGGAAAAATAAAAAGAGAAATTTAGCAATTTAAGCTTACACAAAAAACAAAGGCAACACAATACGCACATATTATTATGTAGGTACATCAACTTACACTATAAAACTAAGTAATACGCATCGGACTAAATCACTTTATAAATATTCCAAAATAGCATTTCTATATGCTACAAGTAACAAGCAAAATATGTCAGCATTAGCATTAAAATATGTTAGCATACCTTTACATTGCGAAGATTTTTTACGAACAACTTCTTTATAACGAATTTTAAACTATAAAAAAAAGTGTAAATAAATACCTCTAATTAACGAATTTTGTCAACCCAAAACCTTTATATAAAGTTCCCACCAATGTGACCCTAAAACCCATAGTATGTGAATCAGTCTCGACAGGTTTGAGATAAACTGTTACTCTAATTGTTTTTAAATAGAAAATACATGCAGTAATTTAATAAAAGTGTGTTATCATTTATTAGTGTCAACATTCATTCTATTTGTACACGTGTCATAGTGGCGAAAAAGATAGTAATCTACTTGTATCAAGCAAAAGAGATACAGCCTTTCGAATCCCGCAGACAAGTACCAATTTATTCACAGGGTTTTGGTAGCTACCCGTCAAAGTAACCCTCTAACCGCCTCTAATAATAGTAAAACAATTATATATCTGTGTGCTTAGTGAAGGTTTTTTAACGTTCTCTAAAAGTTAACTCAAATTTGTATGGAGTTGAAACGTTTGCCTACGTTTGCCGCTAGGGGCGTTTTTACGTTATCGAGAACGCTAAAAAACTAGCACTAAGCACACTGATATTTTCTTCGCTTTTCGCGAGTCGAGTAGTTATAATTAAAATGACTTTTACAGTTTAATCTCGCGTTTTTAATGTAGTTCTTTATATTGTTTCCGACTGTTCGAATACTTTACAATTTTTTTGGTCGCGGAAGTCAGTCGACAGACAACAAGACTAAACCGTAAATATAGTTTTAATTAGTATGATATTGTTATTTGATATTGAACTAGTTCAGTAAAGTTGTAGGCAGCGGCTTGGCTCTGCCCCTGGCATTGCTGAAGTCCATGGGCGACGGTAACCACTCAGCATGAGGTGGGCCGAGGGCTCCTGCTACAAGAGTAACATAAAAAAAAAATGCTTTACACAAATAAATAACATTAAGTACCTACATACAGTAAAGCTGTTAGTAAAGATGTCTCGCGTGTTCCGGTCACATGAATCACGGTTAAAAACAAAGAACTAACATAGTTTATTCACGATACGACAAAATTTTAAAAAGTTAGCCAAAATGTTTTCCAGAATTTCTCTGTGTAAAAAAAAAAGTTGTATGATTTTTTTTATTTTTTTTTTATTGCCCTTTTAGGCAGACGATCACACGGCCCACCTGATGGTGAGTGGTTACCGTCGCCCATAGACGTCAGCAATGCCAGGGGCAGAGCCAAGCCGCTGCCTGCCGCAAAGTGAGTTTTTTTTTTTATGATTGAAGGATTACTGGTGGCCCGGAGGCCTTTCCAGTTTCACCAGGACAGGTGGGCGAGCAAAAGCTCAGCCGGGAGGGGTGGGATTTGCTAACAGCTACCCGAGCGCTCCGAAGGAGACCTAACAGCTCAAGAGTAGCTGCTTCGCGAATGAATCTACTACCGGATCGGAATCGCGACCCGCTGAGAAGATCCGGCGAGAAACTCAGCGAGCTGATTCATGGGTTAGGTTGCACGGCGAACTCTTTGTCGAGTTCGACGAGTACGGTTACCGAGGTCCCTAAGCCTGCTCCTAGTGTTAGAGCTGAANCGGGTTCGATTCCTGAACGTATCAACTGTTAGTGGGTTGATACCCGAATATAACCCGCTACAAATCATTTATTAATAAAGCTTATTAAATATAAACAATTCCTTCTATCAGTGAATGGACAACTTATATATTAATTGTAAAAGTGAATTATATAGACTTACTTAATTACCGCATCCACGTGTTCCGCAACTCCCGGATCATTCTCACTAGAATACGTAACTTCCATATTTTACTGTATTCAACTGACACAAATTTATATTTATATCCAGTAAACTCCAGTCGTGCGTCGGAGCGGACACACACACTTTTTTTTTTAATGAGGAATAAAAAAAATATTTATTTATTTTTCTATTAATAATTTAAAATAAACATAAGTGGTAAAGAGTGAACAGGTCGATTCTCTTATAAACAGCATTCCCTATTACAAGAAAAAAATTGATTTAAGGATGAAAAATGAAGAAAATCACAATAACACACACCGCAAAAGAAGTTTCACTTCATTCACGCGCATTCATTTTGCTGAATCTTTCTTTTGAAAGCTGGTGCTTCTCCTGTGGTCTATTTAAATCGTATCAAAATCTGACTTATGGTTTTGGAAATATCCTTAATAATCTAAATTTTACTTGATTTCGACTACGACTACGGCATTGATGATGTTCTCTTTTTATTTTATTGAAGCCGGTTTTCTTTTTTTTTTTGTAAATATTTTGTTACAGGAATCATTTTGTCGCTTCTATTGTTTAAAGTAGAATCGTTTTTTTTTTTACTCCATATAAATATAAAAAATCAATAATAATCTTTTTTTTTTTTAATTTAATGCAGTCTGTTCCTCCAAACAAAATTTACTGAATACCTTGTGATGCAGATGATATGGAAATACAGACGCACTTCTCAGGCCTTTGAGAAATGCGTCTGCAAGTTAACGAACCAGCCGGAACCCAGGCACATAAAGACCTTTCAGATAGTGTCTATTCAATGAAACATGCTTATCTATATAGTGTTTTTTTACTTATGTCTAAATCAGGCTATTTTATCAAAATCCCTTCTACATGTCCTTTTTCTTCATCCTTCTTTTTGGCCGTCATCTGTGATTCTTCCTTTGTCTTCTTCGACTTCTTCCAAACAGGTTGAAGTCATACTATCTAGATGTGGTAGTGGCCTTTTTAGTCGTCACACACATATTGCCACAGACTATGTTGACAGCCATCGACCGCTATGTAACTTGCATCTAAACTTTAGAATTTTACAGAAATAAAATAAATCAATACAAATATTTAAATACCAATTTACCACCACCCTGCCTGTTTCTGCCGTGAAGCACTAATCCGTTTAGGTTCGAAGGGCGGGGCAGCCGTTGTACTGTAAAAGTGAGACTCAGAACTCATATCTCGAGTTGGGTGGCGGCGTTTACGTTGTTGATGTCCATGGGCTCCAGTAATTAGTTAATACCAAGTGGACCGTGAGCTCGTCCAACTGAAAATACTAAAAACGCTCATCAATTATAAGTGAGTCGAACTTGAAATTAAAACAATAATTTTTATTCCGAGGTCAGGGTATTTATCATTAGAGCTACAATTGTTCTTTCATAGGTTCTTGAAACGTAAATAAATTTAAGGGAGTTCATATAGAGTCCCTTCTTTATTTCGCCGTACAGTCGTGTTTTATGTAATTAACACCACAGTTGGAACAATATAAATTTTATTGTTGTAGCGGCATAAACAATTCTAAGTAATTATATTATATTGGTGATTTAACACATTATAAATTATTTTTACGTTTTAAATATTTGGCGGTAAAAAAGTCCCGTGTCACAGACTATATTCTTTTTCCCACCTCTCGTGCGTTCCGGCTTACGCATCATATAAAGGTGCGTTCTTAAACGCCACAAATTCAAGCTAATCTACAATGCCGTCTTAAAGGTGGCGAAAATTATGTTGAAAGTTAAATAAAGCTAATTAAAAGCGTGTAAATATGTTTTATATAATAATGAAATTGACTTTGAACCTAAACGCAACAAAACCTTCTTAGATAACATTATTGAAATAGATATTGCTACAATGTCAAACGTGTGTCAAACGGACATTTCATTATTTTTTGTCATCTAATTCAAAATCGCTGCGTAGAAAATGCAACAAAAATTCGAAAATCTAAAATTGTTTCGTTACAATACAAAAAAACATTAAAATGTCGATAACAAACAAAGTAGCAGACAAGGAAATGTTAAAGGTTAATAATAATACGAGTAACCTCTCAAACACGACTATTGAATCGAAATTCGACGAGATAAAAATCGGAATCGTTAATAAAATCGATAAAGAACTAATCGATTCTCAAAACGCTAGATTGTTTATCATTCAAAAGTACGATGAGCTTTGTAACAAGATTAATTTTTTGACCGAACTCGACTCAACGTTCAACGGATTCAGGAGAGACGTGAAATCCATCGAGCAACAAGTTTGCGAGCTCTCTCAGCGCGTCGACAGCATAGAGAAGAGGATTATCTGTAAAGAGTGCCCATCTTTGACGTCAGCTGCTTTTTAAATTGCCACAATGAATTTTGCGTATGAAAATCAATTTTAATATTCGTTTTATTTTGAAGTATACGTGACCAGAGAGGTTTTTTGTGCGAACTGTTTCCTTTTTCCCCTACCTATGCCGATAGCCTTGTGAGGCTACATCAGCGTTACCGGACGAGTAGGTGAGCTCACGAGGCTCAAACCTGGCGAAGTTGCTAACATTGACTCTAGCAAGAGCAGCGCTTCGCAGAATCTACCACCGGATCGGAAACGCGACCCACTGAGAAGATCCGGCGAGAAACTCAGTGGGCTGTGTCTGAGGATTAATTTACTCGCCGAGCCCTTCGTCGCAAGCGACGGGTTTGACGAGAACGTAGACCGGTGCTTGGGATACCTAAAAGCACCGTTAGTGGATCGGGAGGATCCAAAATGACGTGTTTTGGGCGACGTCGGCTGTTTGCCATTCGGTCTGCAGGATCGGGAATGGGTGTTTCCTAAAAACCGTATTCAGTATATTACGGGGACACTAAAAAAATAAACATCTTTCATCCAGCTGCTCTCAAAGTATTGTGGTCACCAAACTTTTTTTTTAAATCTTTGTTTCTACATAAAGTTTATAAGTTTTTATTATTGTGTGTTTATAAGGGTGAGTTGTCTGTAATTGAGGTTATAAGATATTGTTCATAATTATGCATGTATTTATTGCTTGTATAAATTACCGAAGCAAGCATTTTTGTTGGTCTAAATAGGCAAATAGGCTCACGGCCTCTCTACGGTTGATCCAGTAGATTACCGTGACCCTCTATGAGACATGAGGTCAAAGTCTCAAGTCACAAGCGGGACGGTGGTGCTTACCCGGTTTTATCATATTCGGTAGCTGAATCTTTATGAAGATGAACTAAAAATACTGATCTCATGACATTTCTTTCTAATTCATCATATTATTATGGTAGTATGCAAATTAAAACATTTCTTTTCTGGTATATTTTTATTTAAAAAAAACAATCACATTCGATATCTAAAGACGATAAGTATTTACATGTGTTTTACAAAAAAAATGCAAACATAACGATTAAGTCAGGAGATCTAGAGTGGCCGCAATACCTTTTGCAATACTTTAAATTAAATACCAGTCCTTTTAATCTAAACATTAAAATCTATTACGATCGCATACAATAACGTTTTAAGTTCGTATTTCAAATCAAGAAACTATTTTTCTTTTTTATTATTTCGTTCTAAGGAGAATATTTTAAAGAATCGTTTTTTACTTGGGCCACCGGCTTATTTCATATCAACTGCTACGGATTAGTTGAATCAATGTGCTGCCATCTATTGAAATTCGGTGGAACTATTAGAGGTTACCAAAATTTATTGTGATATCTATGAAATTAATTTAATCTACTATTAAGCGTGACGTTTTCGCGCCAAAGTTCTTTTTTTTTCAAAGTTCTACCTATCAAAACGATAGATGGCGCTCGAGCAGGTTTTATGTCAAATCGATGATTTTCATAAAATTAATACGATAGTCCACAGTGGAGTGTGAGTGACAGTATTTCACTAGTAAGTAAATTAAGGTACCTGAGAATTTTTAAAACAAATTCTGTATGCGAGATGTTTTGATTGCCGATACTGGTCGTTAATTTAATAATGTGAAGTTAACAAACAGACTGAAAACATTTCAAGCTACTTCAGTGTGCTTAGTGCGAGTTTTTTAACGATCTCGATAGCGTAGAAGCTAGTTCATATTTGTATGGAATGGGATCGTTCGCGTACGTTTGCCGCTAGGGGCGCTGTTCCAACTGCATACAAAATTGGGTTAACTTTTACGCTAGCGAGAACGTTAAGGAACTTTTTTTTGGAGTTTACTCCTTTAGAATCGATTTACATATATAGGCCCGGGGTATGAAAATTATGGGGACCAAAATCGTACTAGCATGTCACACGAAATGCGTTATGCGCCTGATTGGCTCCTGATTGCGTGATGCGTGCGCGCGCCAATCAGGAGCCAACGCGCGGCCGCGTTATCGCAGGTGACGCCGGGCTGCTGCGCCGGCAGTCCGCCACAAAGCCTCGTACTGATCGCGCGTTTCTCTCATTATTGTATTTTCATATATTTGTTAGTCGTTTGTTTTGTGTCTCGTTAATTTGTTAATAATCTGTAGTGTATCGTGTTGTCGTAATATAGAACTATTTCTCGTATTGTTTCGTTTAATTTTTTATATCCAGTAAACTCCAGTCGTGCGTCGGAGCGGACACACACACTTTTTTTTTTTTTATTGCTTAGATGAGTGGACGAGCTCACAGCCCACCTGGTGTTAAGTGGTAACTGGAGCCCATAGACATCTACAACGTAAATGCGCCACGCACCTTGAGATATAAGTTCTAAGGTCTCAGTATAGTTACAACGGCTGCCCCACCCTTCAAACCGAAACGCATTACTGCTTCACGGCTGAAATAGGCACCCGTGCGGACTCACAAGAGGTCCTACCACCAGTAAAACTCGCACTAAGCACACTGAACCGCGTTCTGCATAGGAAAGGCGGTTGGGCGACTCTAGTCTTCATAGACTCTTTATTATTTATAATTTTTGGCACAATACCGTATTACGCGTTTAGTTTAAAATATAAATTATATTAATAACATAAATCACATTCTAAATAAATTTCTTCTCGTATATATTTTAAATTTTTAGTCTTCTCCGTTTGCAAATATAACAAAAACCCTACGTGGCCTACGCTTTTTCAGCTTAATTCACGACTTTCTGAGTATTTGACCGTTTCCGTAGTAATTAAAATTTATTATTATTTACCCATACGAATTAATTCTGGTATGGTAATAAGTATATTTACAAAAATATTCTTAGCACATCAAAATGGTTAAAGCGATAGCTTTTATTTTACAATTATCCTACAAATCGATTATAAAAAATTTAAAATTAGATTATTTTTCGAACGAAACACAACCAAATTAGAAAGGAACAGAATAATTCGGATCGAAGATTTCATTGAAATTGATATTTAGTGTTGGAATTTAAAAAAAAAACAATTTGGAAGCAAAATATACCTACGTCATTCAAATGTAAAATTATTTTATTTAGTATAGCCACTTAGCGACATTATAATACAGTAAAAGCTCCTTAGTAGGGGGGAGTAAGGGGAGATCGGAATGCTACCTTCACCGGCCCTATTGTCAACCCCACCTGCACGCGCCGGATGGCGGCGGCGACCAACATGTTGCCGTGGTGCTCCCTGCTAGAGAACGAACGGGGCAATGGCGACCAAGCAATGGCGGTATAACCATACACACCCGTCAGGACAACCTGTACGGAAGAGGCGTCAGAAACCTTGGGGATCAAATACCCCCTAAAATGCTGGTGCAGAAGGCAACGGGAAACCACTGCACTAATTTCCCACGAGAGTCATGAGCAGGTCGTATCCGACTGATGCATGACCACGACCACTCTGTCAAGAGTGTACGAANAGCAATGGCGGTATAACCATACACACCCGTCAGGACAACCTGTACGGAAGAGGCGTCAGAAACCTTGGGGATCAAATACCCCCTAAAATGCTGGTGCAGAAGGCAACGGGAAACCACTGCACTAATTTCCCACGAGAGTCATGAGCAGGTCGTATCCGACTGATGCATGACCACGACCACTCTGTCAAGAGTGTACGAATAGGAAGAAAAGCTCCTTATTCGCGTTCGCCTTATGTTTTATTGTTTCGTCTTTCACATTCGTTACAAAAATTGTGATCGAGTATTTTAAGAGGCAAATTGCTAATGCGACTACTATGTATCAGTCTGAATTGAAGGAAATTTAAAAACTGCCAAGCAAGAAAAAAATACAAAATTCTTCAAAACATTAACTAATCAAAATGTTAATAAACTTCAATTAAATTGATTTTTTTATATATTTGTTTTTTTTTTGTGACGAAAACGAACGTATTCCCTATTATCCTATATAAATTACCATTCCGTATTCACGGTTTCTGTATTCGCGGCATATTAATGGAACATATACCCCGCGAATAAAGAGCTTTTACTGTACTTACATGCCGGGTATGTTTTAAAAATGGTGACTTAAGACGAGATTAATGGTTCATGATTAATATTATTTTAAAATCATTAATACACAATCATAGTTACATCATTTTTAAATTAATAAATACAATTTAATGAAAAATTTCATTAAAAATCATGTATGAAGACTTATACGGCTTTAACTCATATTTGTAATAGTCCCATACTATAATAGGCTACCCGCGAATGCATATGAAAAAATAATTAAACTTTATGGTATAATTAATTACCTTTGCCTTTCCACTTGAAAAAAGAAATTACTACTATGAAAAAAAGGCGGGTGCCATCTGTCAGCGCTTCGCCCATAGTGTCACATACTCTTTGGCTTCACCCTGTAAGCGCTCACTAAATATGGCGACGATGTTTTTGGTAGGTAAATGAAGCAAAATGAAGTTTGTTTCCCGTTTTTTTTTTGACGTTCGGTATCAATAGTATTTATTTGAAGAATAGAAATCTATTCAAAGCACACAAAACCGCACGTTCTAACCTTAAAGTACAATCACACTGATGCAATTACTAGCATCATCGCTAATAATATAAATCACACTAATATCCTGCCAATTTCAAATTTACACAATATAAACAAATAGCACTAAGTTCAATAGTAGTAGGTACATTGATGAGTATAATTATTAAAAAAACGAAATTTATGAATTAATTAATACAAATGATAAATTTATTTTATTTTGAATAATATCTTTTTTAAATTTATATTTAGATTTTAGATTTATTTCCGATAAATCAATACGACCACGTAAGCTGAAACTGATAGATTTTTAATGTTTTGCTTGTTACATTATCTCGGTAACACAATGGTCCTGACTTATGAATTTCATGAAAAATTTTATAGACCCAGTTTTACACAAAATTAAGTGTTGCCACTGTTTAATTCTTTTCTTACCTAATAATAAATTGAAATTAACTCATTATTTCTGAATTTCTAAACGTAATGCGGCTCATTCATACGCGACCACTAATTTACATAGTATTTTGTTTTTTATTTTTTTTTAAATTACACTTTTTTACATTAACATAGTATTTCTTCTTAAACGTCTGCTCTATTGAACATAATATACAAAAAAAAAACAGTAATTTTACATTTATTCCTAAAAATATGTTTACCTTCAGCACGTGTATGAGCAATCCTTATTTTTCCATCTAGAAAACTGACCTGACTGATCGATCAGATCCTCTTTCCGGCCAGGATGGCCTGGATCTGCGATAAAGACTTCCCCTTCGTCTCGGGGATCAGGAAGGACACGAAGAACACGCAGACCAGCATGAAGGCAGCGAAGAACCAGAAGCAGCTGTAGATCCCCAACGCGTCCATCATCAGCGGGAAGCAGAGAGTAACAATGAACACTAGGACCCAGTTCACTACGACCGTGATCCCCGCGGCCGTCCCCCTGATCTCGGCGGGGAACAGTTCTGACATCATCGTCCAGGGTATCGGGCCGAATCCCATCGAAAACGAAATGATGAAGAGCACCAAACACAACAGCGGGATCCACCCGACGACGGCTAACGCGACACCGTCCCTCTGTAACTTGAAGTAAGTTCCCAATACGACCAGGGACAGCCCCATGATGATGCAGCTCTGCAGCAAGAGGATCCTCCGGCCGGCTCGCTCGATGAGCAGCGAGGACCCGACGGTTGAGATGGTCTGGACCACGCCCACGATGATGGTGGCGATCACGGACGGTATGTCGGAGCCGGCGGAACGGAAGATCTGCACGGTGTAGAAGATGACTGCGTTGACGCCGCTGAACTGCTGGAAGAGCATGAGGCCGAGCCCGCACAGCATGGCGCGGCGAGTGGCCCCGCCCCGCGTCAGCGCCAGCACCCCGCCCCGCGCGCGCCCCGACGCCTCCACCTGCCCCAAACGCAACCTCCCTCAAGTAAACGCCCAGCAACGGTTATCTATACTAATATATAAATCTACAGTGGTTTTTACGGATGTTCCGTTATAACTACTGAACCGTGCAGCCGATTGACTTGAAACTTGGTATCCATGTAGAAAATACATGTACTTAATGGATAGGCTAATGTTTATATGAGTGTTGGACTCCCTACACCAGTTGCGGAGGCGTTAATGATGAGAATCTTTGTGGGGGTGAGAGATAATGTTAATTTTAAATGCCCAGCGAAGCGGACGGGTACAGCTAGTAGATGATAAAAACGATTTAAGAGTTTTATTCCTTGATTTATAAGGATGGATTCTGAACTCCTTATAGAACATAGGTATTGACTGTTCATTATAAACGCCTGACGCGATACAAATTGTTTTGAAATACCGAACGTTCGGTGTAGGAGTTATAAGTACTGGAAGTGATATTTAAGTATGGATTTATTTTTATGAAGACACATCCATGGAGCCTTTAGTGACACCAGTCTGTTCGTCTAAGCCATATCCAGTCACCACTACGGCTTTTCAAATTTGTCCAGTAAACACTTAACAACAACGTGTAAAAAGGTTTTTCACTGGTGGTAGGACCTCTTGTGAGTCCGCACGGGTAGGTACCACCACCCCGCCTATTTCTGCCGTTAAGCAGTAATGCGTTTCGGTTTGAAGGTTGGGGTAGCCGTTGTAACTATACTGAGACCTTAGAACTTATATCTGAAGATGGGTGGCGCATTTACGTTCTAGATGTCTATGGGCTCCAGTAACCACTTAACACCAGGTGGGCTGTGAGCTCGTCCACCCATCTAAGCAATAAAAAAAAAAAAAAGTCCGCTCCGTGTGTGATTTTAAATACAAATGGAGCGCCAAGTTCTGCGTCGCGTTTCCGATTCGGTGGTAGATTCAGCGAAGCACGGCTCTTGCTAGGGTTCGTGTTAGCAACGTCGTCAGGTTTGAGCCCCGTGAGTTCATCTACTAGTTAAGGTTACGCTGATCCATTAACGGTGCTTTTATGCACCACAAGCACCGGTCACCGTCCTCGTCGAGCGCGTCGCTCGCGACGAAGGGCTCGACGAGTGAATTAACCCATAGACACAGCCCACTGAGTTTCTCGCCGGATCTTTTCTTAGTGGGTCGCATTTCCGATCCGGTGGTAGATTCTGCGAAGCACTGCTATTGCTAGGGTCAGTGTTAGCAACACTCCGGTTTGAGCCCCGTGAGCTCACCTACACGTCAGGATGAAGCTGATATATCTCAAGGCTATCAGCTTAGGTAGGGAAGAAAAAGGATCGTGCAGTGGGGAAGACTCACGTCTTTCTGCATCTCGTCCAACTCGGCGGCAAGGTCGGCGTGCGGGCCCCGCAACCAGCGCAGCGACTGCTCGGCCTCGCGCCGTCGCCCACACGACAGTAGGTACTGCGGCGTCTCCGGCATCCACCTACCCGCCCACAATGCAATATGACAACTTTGTTTAAGCTATTGGAAGTTTGGTAACTTTGACATTGCTGGTGAACCGGTCACCGTTCGCTATCAATTTCGGATCTTAGCCATCAATTTTTTTTTTATTGCTTAGATGAGTGGACGAGCTCACAGCCCACCTGGTGTTAAGTGGTTACTGGAGCCCATAGACATCTACAATGTAAATGCGCCACGCACCTTGAGATATAAGTTCTAAGGTCTCAGTATAGTTACAACGGCTGCCCCACTCTTCAAACCGAAACGCATTACTGCTTCACGGCTAAAATAGGGAGGGAGGTGGTACCCACCCGTGCGGACTCACAAGAGGTCCTACCAAGGGTAATAACGCAAATTATAATTTTGCGGGTTTCATTTTTATTACACGATGTTATTCCTTCACCGTGGAAGTCAATCGTGAACATTTGTTAAGTCCTACGTATTTCATTAGAAAAATTGGTACCCGCCTACGGGATTCGAACACCGGTGCATCGCTACATACGAATGCACCGGACGTCTTAATCCTTTAGGCCACGACGACTTCAAAATATTGCTATATTGTCGTATCTATCTATAGGCTACAGTCCCCGTTTAACACTGGGGAAGACTGACACCCATATGTCGAAGTGGATATACAGATTCCCTCCAACAATGCACTGATTGACCCCACTATCTCTTTACTCGGGCGTGCACACCGTTAGTAAAAAAGACATGGATACTGACTTTATACACAAATATACCAAGAAATTGATATCAAAATATGTTCTTCTGGTAGGCAGCGGTTTGGCTCTGACGTCCATAGGCGACGGTAACCACTCACCATCAGGTAGGTCGTATACTCGTCTGCCTACAAGGGCAATAAAAAACTTGCATTTATATGGCCACGACCATCGACCACGCCCAAGGTAATTTTGATGTGAAATTCGGAGCTGAAGTCCAAATTCATATAGCGAACACTATATATCTTATATCTTTAAACGAGCAATTCTTGTATTATATATAATCTGAATCTCGGAAACGGCTCCAACGATTTTCATAAAATTTAGTATACAGGGCATTTCGGGGGCGATAAATCGATCTAGCTACGATTTATTTTCACAAAATGTTGTTTTATTCGTGTTCTCAATAATCAACTTTACTGATAATCAACTTAAACATAAACTGTTTTTTTATTGAAAGAAAATAACAAATAATGTAATATAATATCAATATGTAATTCGTATTTAAATATAATTTCTAAAAAACACAATTTAGCAAAAAAACAAAAAAACGAGCAAAGCTCGGGCACTTATCAGCCCACAGACGTCCACTGCTGGACATAGGCCTCCCCCAAGCCTCGCCACAAAGACCGGTCTTGCGCTGCGCTGCAAAAACTGCGTAATAACGATGTCCGGTACTATTTCGAAAGGGGCGACTTACCAAAATACAGCAACAAGCAGTAAAGGCACCGCTGCGTTAATGATGGACAGGGTCTTCCAATGCGTCCAGCCGCCGACGACGAACGTGAATAGGATGCCGACAGTAATGAAAAGCTGGAAGAACGAGCCCAAAGCGCCACGGATCGCGGTCTCCGCTATCTCCCCGATGTACAGGGGAGCCGCCACGCACATTCCACCTGAAAATACCGTACCTTAGCAACGTTGAGGATTTATAGATTGAGCGCTTTGAGCCTTGGTACTAAACATCTGCTTACTTCCGCCCCGGAGCGATCCAGTTCGTAATTTGAATGAACCGACTTTCTGTTTATTTCTGCCGTGAAGCAGTGATTGAAGTCGTCGTGGCCTAAAGGATAAGCCGTCCGGTTCATTCGTGTTGAGCGATGCGCCGGTGTTCGAATCCCAGGCGGGTACCAATTTTTCTAATGAAATACGTACTCAACAAATGTTCATGATTGACTTTCACGGTGAACGAACAACATCGTGTAATAAAACTCAAACCCGCAAAATCATAATTTGCGTAATTACTGGTGGTAGGACCTCTTGTGAGTCCGTACTCTGCCTATTTCTGCCGTGAAGCAATAATGCGTTTTGGTTTGAAGGGTGGGGCAACCGTTGTAACTATACTTGAGACCTTAGAACACATATCTCAAGGTGGGTGGCGCATTTACGTTGTACATATCTAAGGGCTCCGGTACCTACTTAACACCAGGTTGACAGTGAAACCGTCCACCCATCTAAGTAATAAAGAAAACCCTGGCTTCCTACTTTATAAGAGTTTTATTGCACCACCATTTCGATAATTCAACTGAAACTGTCTCTTGGAGAGATCCTTTTGTTTCCTTAATTAGCACGGTCGTTAAATTTAAAAGTTATCTTCAATTAAGCCAATAATGTAAATTGCTTACTTCAAAACGATTAGAAGCCGAATTTATAAATTTGGTGGTAGGGTATATCGTAAGTGTGCTAATGCTAGAACTCAAAGGCGATCTTCAATTTGCGTTGTCTATGGATTTTACTGATATTTAACGCAAGATATTTCACAGATGCTTGAATGTAGCTAGCCAACGACAATTTCAAGTTACTCTGCATATTTACAAATTCCGAAAAACATTCGGACCGTCGGTCTACCGAGCAATTTCGCCAGCTCGATGGAAGATCTTTCCTTTGTCGTTACGTCCCAAATATGTACCCACATATATTTAGAAAAGAGCAAGTTCTGAATTTCTTGCCGATTTTTCTCACTGCTGAAACAACATTCCGAACTGGTGGGGTAAATTCGTGATCTTTTAAAATAGCATACGTATCAAAACTGACTTGAATAAAAAATGATTTGATAATGACTACATACCAGTAGCAAGACCCGCGAAGAATCTAGCAGCGATCAGCATACCGGCCCCGTTGGCGAAGATCGTCAGCAGCCAGTTGATCATTAGGGGTATAACGAGGATCAGTATAGTGACCCGGCGTCCGAAGCGTTGGGCCGAGAATCCCACAGGGAGCGCCGCTATAGCCGCACCGATAGCCATGATCGAAGACACCAGAGATTCTGGAACATCGAATTGTCATTTCCAGTGAAATGTAGCTCTATTATATTAACTTTGTATACAGACAGTCACGTCAGCTTACGGACCTGATAAACGATTATCTCTGTATATATATTATTATTATTAAAGCTTATGTACAGGTTGTATTAAACTCGAGAAACAGGTAACAGTATTTCCGGAACGAAAAACGGGTATTTTCCAAAAAAAAAATGGTTTACTGCGTTCGGCACTCAATGTATGTTATCAATATATCTTAACAATAGAGGTTTCCAGAATTTGATGGAACTTTTCATCTTCTCAGTCGTTTGCACTCTTGGCAGGATGGTCGTGATCATCACTTCGGGTGTTGGTGCGCTTCACCAGACGTCGCCATTCCTCGCGTACTGCGGCCATTCTTGTGCATTCGTTGAAGGGACCGTTCAGAACTTCCTTTATTTGGTCGGTCCATCGTAATAGTGATTTACCGCGCGGTTTTGTACCCGAAATCATGCCCTGCACCACAAGGCGCTCCACTGAGACGTCACCCCGTTCCACCCCGAAGAAAGTGAGAATACGACCCTGAACGATGGAGCATAGACGCTCCCACCTGTCCTGGTGAAACTGGAAAGGCCTTCGGGCCACCAGTAATCTTTCAATAAAAAAAAAAGAAGCATAGACGATGTTTGATGCAGAGTTCCTAAAATCCTAAAATCGTTCCAGTTCCATTAAGTTTCTGATTTGATGGACGATTTTATTCTCCACTAGCTTTTGCCCGCGACTTCGTCCGCGTGGAATAGTTCACAAATAATGCTTTATTTCAGAACAAATTTGGTTAACATAAAAAACGTTATAGTGAGCCAACCTTGACATATAGACATATGCTGTCGCGGACTTTTTTCAAGATCTTTTAAAGGGGAACAATTCTGTCATACATTATTTTAGCGCAACTTTAACCGTTTCTGCAGCGCACGCAGCGGAAGCTCTCAAAAGGGAAAAAACCTCGATTTTGAAACATTATTTATTAGTGCTCCGCCTGCATTAGTCTTAGCGTGATGTTATATAGCCTGTAGCTTTCCTCAATAAATGGGCTATATAATACTGAAAGAATTTTTCAAATCGGACCAGTAGTTCCTGAGATTAGCGCGTTCAAACAAACAAACTCTGCAGCTTTATAATATTATATGTAGTATAGATTTAAATTAATTCTTGATATTCCTGTTTCGAATTCGGGACTCGAAATTTGAACATGCTTTTTATTTTATTTTTAAATGTCAACCTAATTTTCGCTGCTTCCCGAGACATAAAGTCGCAGCCTCACGCGGCGCATTCCTTAGTTGCATTGCCCGTCGAATTCTTATAAAGAAATTCTAGGAGTAAACACAGCCACACCCACGACTGAGCTGGCTGCAGGCCAACGTGACGTCACAGCACGCCTTCGATTACCGACCGAGTATTACAAACATGTATTTTTAAATATAGCTGAAGTTTGAAGAGGAATAATTTTGTGTTCTGTAGGCTCTTGCCTTTCGTTTCAAATGGTTTAATGCACTAAGACCGTTGACTAGTAGTACCATAGATATGACAATTTGGATACAGTCTACCTTGAGCCACGAGCAAGTCGCAATATGTCGAATGGGGATATAGCATGCAATCGAAACGCTTGACAAAAATCGCGCCGAAATTGGCGGGTCAGCGGAACCTACCCTAGAAAACCGCATAACTCGACAAAGACTTATTTGTCAATTGTACACTTCTATTATTAAGCATACGGACGGATGGTGTTCAATTGAAAAACTTACTTATGCTTTTTTTATTAATGAGCGATTACTGGTGGCCCGGTGGCCTTTCCAGTTTCACCAGGACAGGAGGGCTAGGAAAGGCTCAGCCAGTAGAGGTGGGATTTGCTAACAGCTACCCGAGCGCCTCCAAAGTAGACCGAACAATTCAAGAACAGCTGCTTCGCGAATGATTCTACTACCGGATCGGAAACGCGACCCACGGAGAAGATCCGGCGAAAAACTCATTGGGTTGTGTCTATGGGTTAATTTACTCGTCGAGCCCTTCGTCGCAAGCGACGGGTTCGGCGAAGACGGTGACCGGAAATGCGCCACGCGACAATCAGTCTGTACGACATATAAAAAAAAAACAAATACCAATCGATATATCGATTAAAATTTTGCAATATTACCATATGTTTTCGAAATATTTTGTGTGTAAGCTTAGTTGCTAAATACTGTAATCTATATTATGTTACGTGTATAATTTACGTTTAGTTGTGTGCAATGTCGACCGGAGGCGTGACCGGACGTGAACCGGACGCGCGTAATGTTTTTAAATCATACATACATACAATCTGCATTGAGTGACCTTGCGCCTTCTTATATACCTATAGGAAACTGCGTAAAATCTTCTCGTCCCAAATACCACAGTTTCTCAAGACAAAGTGATGATATACTTTAGTAAGACGTAGTAACTGGTTACCAATATTCGAACGAAATTTAGAGTTCCACCTCATATTGGCTAGCGACATTAACGTCACAATGGTACACATGTACGTATTATCACGCACCATACGTATATCCGGCTGAAATACATCCGCCCGTGAGCGCAACGAGTCCGGTGATAAATCTATTTATACAACGTGACGTCACTGGGCCGATAGCCAACTTTATCTGCAGCTTTAAGCGCTTTCGATTTTAAGCACGAAAGAGAAAACTAAATACAATATTCATTAGGACTTGCGTTGCGGGATTCTAAGGACACTAGCCATTGTTATAATGATTTTCAATTGTACGTTTATTTAATACTTTAGACGTTTTCAATGTGTACAATACTTAGTACATTATTATATTTTGATATATCTCGTAGGGTTCAACCTGCGTTTGCAATGTAAGCGGATAAAATGTAATTATTTACGACATCACATTAGAAACCTCAAAAATAACAGTATTTCTCCACTATTTCATGGATGTTATTATAAAAAAACCGCATCAACATCCGTTGCGTAGTTTTAAAGATTTTTAAGCATACATAGGGATATAGGGACAGAGAAAGCGACTTATGTAGTGAAGTTGTACGCATTACGACCTTACCGGTGGGTCTAGTGTTACTATACCATTCGGGCCAAGCCAAAATCAGGGAATCAGTAATTTTTATCAACTTGAGATTTTCATTTTTTACTGGTGGTAGGACCTCTTGTGAGTCCGCACGGGTAGGTACCACCACCTTACCTATTTCTGCCGTGAAGCAGTAATGCGTTTCGGTTTGAAGGGTGAGGCAGCCGTTGTAACTATACTTGAGACCTTAGAACTTATATCTCAAGGTGACTGGCGCATTTACGTCGTAGATGTCTATGGGCTCCAGTAACCACTTAACACCAGGTGGGCTGTGAGCTCGTCCACCCATCTAAGCAATAAAAAAAAAGAAGTCTCCTATAAGTAGAACAAGTTGAAATAAGTTCCCAGCTGTATCGTGCGGGCTCATTAGAGAACTCACAAGAAAATTTAAGTCTTACTTGTACTCGTGTCCAGAAGGAAATCAGCGGGCTCGCCGAGGGAGTTGATCAGTTGGCTAGAATTGGTGGCGTTCTTTCGGTAGTCAAGCGGTGCTGGCGTCGTGTTGTTTGGGAGAGTTTGATTATCATCGTCCTTCCAAGGTTCCAGTTGGGGTAGAACGGGAGACGTCCAAGCCAGGATGGTGCCGGCAGCTACTGCTCCAATGGCAGCTGGAAAACGAGGTTGTATTTCAGATTTCCGGGCACATACAAGTAATATATATATATATATATATATATATTAACACGTGAAGCAAAAACTTTGTACTCCTTTTTACGAAAATTGCGCGGACGGAGGAGTATGAAATTTCCCACACTTACAGAGAATATAGAGAAGGAGTACAGAATGTTAATATTTTTTTTAAAATTATGCCTTAATAATACATTAAATCAATAAGAAAACATTACACATACTACCATGTATTTGACACACACACATATATATAAACTCTATTTATTTTCAAAACTTTTGTTATAGCCTAAAGTCTGTGGTCAAATTGAGAATAAGTTACTATTGTTTATCTTTAATGTTATTTGAACGAAGTTCTTTATCGCGCGTTGTGAAAGGGGGCTAGACGGAAAAAATTCTTACGAAAAATTGTCACGACACTTTTTAGATCCGTCATTCTGACCAATCAACGTGTAGGCGCTTATCGCGTGACATTGCTCGTATTCGATTGGTCCGCGTAATGAGTACAGTTTCTCGAGATAGCGTTTCTACAATAGTAATTTAGTTCATAGTATTGTTTTTTTCTTCTTCATAGTGCCGTAATTTATTATTATAAGTTAAAAAAAAACTTTAAAAAAAATTACAATTCCTTCACAAATTAATCGAAAGGAACTTCATTCCATCCGGGTGTCCCTTGACACCTCTGAAGTTTTTTTTTTGTCTATAGTGTGGTCTTGGCGAAATCTGTGAATAAAGAAGTCTATTAGTCTATGACAATAGAACCTTAATAATGTTCAAACTTATAATTACAATTAATTATAGTCGAATCTCGACTACTGCGGGACCACTAGTAATTACAAAGATGCGATAAGTGATGACTTAATGACGTAATCGTTTAAATATGCTAAAGCAGTTTAACTGTCACGGATACCTATCGGTACGATAGGGGATTCCGTGAACATCCTGGTAAACATAACTGCACATTTCGCAAGTACTTGTATGCTTTTTGCATTCATACTTTCCGGTTTCATGGATAAGACAACTAATTGCTATATGATCAATACTTTGATATATTATCTGATAAGCCGTAGAGCTTACGTTGTGTTAGGTATCCATAGCATTCGCCACCAGGAATGTGGAGTTACAAAGGAAAGGGGATTTTGTTTATGAAGGAAGGATTAGAGACCTTTCCGGTTTCACCAAGACAGCTGGGCGAGCACAGGCTTAGCCAGGAGCGGTGGGATTTGTTAACAGCTGCCCAAGTGTATCCAAAGGTGACCTAACGACTCAAGGGCAGCTACTTCAGAATTCTTTTTTAATACGCTTTTATTAGCTTCAGACCTATTTACGTTAGTATGTATGTAACCGAATTTTTTAACATGATTTTGACCCCCTTCAAAACGTCGGATTAACTCGAAATTTGGCATACTTATTAAGGACCGAAGACAAATCAATATTATAAAAAAAAACAAAAAAATTGAAATTCAACAAAAAAAACGAAAAATAAATAATAGTTTAAAAAAATAAAAAAATACGTTTTTATAGAAAATCCAAGTAATAAATAGAAAATAAGTTTTAATAAATTTTAGTTGGATTTTCTATAAAAGCGTGTTTTTTTTAGTTTGTTTAAACTATATTTTTTTTTAACTGATAAAACATGAAGACTTTCGCTTGACTTTTCTAAAATATACAATTGGTCAAAAATTATACCATCAAACTTAAACGTTCTTTACCTATTAATAGCTGTTGAAAAAATTTATTCGACGACATTTTAAACATTCGTTACGTAAGTCAACAACGACGGTGTGTGTTTACGTCGTATTTTTTTGTATAATGTAGAGTTCATTATCACACCCTCGATGCCAAAATTTAGTGGTTTATTTTGTGTTGCACGTGAAACGTTTTGGTGTTTTGCCAGGTAGATTATTTGGCGATTTCAAGACAAGTAATATATTATGTATTTATGAAATACAAGAGCAACACTGAAAATCGCCCACTAGTTTTTGTCGCCACTTTTTTTTTTCTTTGGCTCTTTTTAGAATCAGTACCTACCAACTGTTCAGTTTGAATTTTCACGAGTTTATGTTTAGATGACATGATTGACCTATAAATTAAAAAAAAAAACCAAAAAGTTATCAAAGCTTTCATCAGGTTATCATGTTATTGATAGCAGAGGTTTTTTTTCCTACTTAAGTTGATAACCTTGAGAGGCTATATCAGCATCGCCTTAACTAGGTGAGCTCACGGGGCTCAAACCTGATGACGTTGCTAACACGAACCCTAGCAAGAGCCGTGCTTCGCAGAATCTACCACGGAATCGGAAACGCGACCCACTGAGAAGATCCGGCGAGAAACTCAGTGGGCTGTGTCTGAGGGTTAATTTACTCGTCGAGCCCTTCGTCGCAAGCGACGGGTTCGACGAGAACGATGACCGGATAGCAGAGGGGTGAGCACGAATGACTATCGAAAAAGTTTTAGTATCGCTATCGAGAAAAAATGTATAGAATTTAAAACAGTGCCTCTACCGTCCGTAAAAATAATAAATTTCAGCGGCCACGAATGAATTTACTCACTTTCGTTACGCAATCGAATCATCACGATCTCGAAGCTCAAAACTTATAATCATAATCGAGAGCACGAAAATTCTTTTGACATACGGTAACGTAAATCTCGAAGGCTGACTATCGAGTATTATCATCTCTCGGACTCGACACATTTACATTACGAATTCGATAGATTTTCGTGCTTGACGTACTGTTGAGCATATTTCACTTTCCAATGGTAATCGTGTTGTCGATATCATGAATATCGACAAACAACAAATCACGGTACACCGATAAGGCCTTGTTATTTAACACAAAACTCGTTTGGAAAAAGCCTTAACGCCCCACCAGGTTCGAGAAAGAGACTAGAGTTGACCAGTGGTATGTGACAGAAATGATCCGTTGACACTGATGGTAAATGCAACTAAGAGGACTATGAGGTATTAAAAAGTAATGATGAATCTTTCCCTTCGATCAATTTATTTCAGTATTTATTCCGAAGCCAGCTCGAAAAAGAAGGGGTGCAAAAGTATGTCAACCCAAAATTAAGAGTCTATTGTAAAAAAAGAAGTACCAGCAATTGCAGCAATATACTGATTGGTCCTTTGTGTTTTTCCGCCCTTCTCCTCGACGGAGAGCATGTGCATAGTAGGTCTGTCCATTTTCGCGCCTTCTCACCGCCGCATCCTGTAACAAATTTCCAGAACCAATGTTATTTTATTAATCAACTAGCTGACCCGGCAGACTTCGTAATGCCTCAATCGATAAATAAAAGACCTAAACTTTTGTATAAAATAAACTTAAAATAAAGACAAATGGAATCCGTCCCCACACATCAAAGGAAGTTAATTTTATTGAATTCCGAGAACTTTCACATTTTTCTACCTTTTAAACCTTCTCTGGACTCCCACAAAAAATTCAAGACCAAATTTAGCCAAATCGGTTCAGCCGTTCTCGAGTTTTAGCGAGACTAACGAACAGCAATTCATTTTTATATATATAGATTAAATTGCATTTAATCATATTAGATTAATTGGAAATATACAATCTGATACTGCAATCAACTCTAACAATGAACCTAAAACTAAAAACCTTAAAAAATATTAATAATTTAATAACTAAAATATATTATTAAAAGGAGTCCTTTTAGGCAAAGTTCCGAAGATACTGGCAGCGTTCCCCCTTTGAATAGCTAGACTAATTCTTCCAAGGTAGCTGCCAGCTCTTTCTCCTGTGATATCGACTAACCTTTTTGCTATTTCCTTAAAAAGCCTTATTTAATATTAATATATTGACTTCTATACAGAGCAGCGTCAGACAACCTAGTCTATTGATTTTTAAATTCTAAATCGCCTATAACTAAATAACCCTAACGTTAAATTTTGCTATTGAAGCGTGGTTTTTTAAAACTTTTTTTTTTTATTGCTTAGATTGATGGACGAGCTCACAGCCCACCTGATGTTAAGTGGTTACTGGAGCTCATAGACATCTACAACGTAAATGTGCCACCCACCTCGAGATATAAGTTCTAAGGTCTCAGTATAGTTACAACGGCTACCCCACCCTTCGAACCGAAACGCATTACTGCTTCACGGCGGAAATAGGCGGGGTGGTGGTACCTACCCGCGCGGACTCTCAAGAGGTCCTACCACCAGTAAACTACAAGTAAATACGTTTAAATGACAAATGTATTGGCGAACCTTGGGATCCTTATGCTAATTAAGATAAGTGCACAAACCATTAACGTTTGAACGTAACTGCGGTGTGAATTATTTGTTTGTCGTATTTATGTGAATTAATTATGAGGAAAATGTGAATACGGTGAATCGCATACCGGCCTCGCGGTCAAACGTAATGTGCTTTTTTTTCCATTCAATGACTCTTTTACTTTATAATAGTTTTAAAGGACAGATTCAAATCAAATCAATTTTTTTTTATTTAACACTAGCTGACCCGGCAGACTTCGTAGTGCCTCAATCGATAAATAAAAGACCGACGGGGAACACAACAAAGGAAAAACAAAATTGTTATTTTTATTTAACTCCGAACATTTTCATATTTATCTACCTTTTAAACCTTCTCTGGACTTCCACAAATAATTCAAAACCAAAATTAATCAAATCGATTCAGCCGTTCTCGAGTTTTAGCGAGACTAACGAACAGCAATTCATTTTTATATATAGAGATAAAAGATAAATGAAAGTACACAATTGCTGAACGTCAAAAAGAACTACCGCCAAATCACAAAAACTAGCCTCCGTCCTGAGAAGAACTGGCGAGAAACTCAGCGGGCATGTCTTTTTTTTTAAATATTAGATTGTTATTTTTTAAATATTAATTATTACAATATATATTAAAACGTAACAATTATTGCAATATTGAAGTACCCGGAGCGAGCAACTCATTCCCATGATTCGAAATGATTTGCACTTTTTCAATATATTTATGTGTACGTTGTGACGAATGTTTATTTATTTTTATATTTTAAATCACGCACGGTCATCCGGCCCCAATTTAGGATACCCTGTGTTATCTACGTGAACGCATTAATACGCGAAGCAAAAACTTTGTACTCCTTTTACGAAAATTGCGCAAACGGAAGACTATGAATTTTCCCACACTTATAGAGAATATGCAGAAGGATTGCAGAATAATAATATTTTTTTAAGTATGCATGAAAATCACTTCAGTGCACCGCGTAGGGCACCGGTGACCTACATGGTGGTGAACGTGTTAAGTCCGCATCGGTAAAGCCTTCGTCAAACAGAACGCGTACTTAGCGCGCGTCAGAGAGCTAAACTAACGCCGCGCTATGACGCCGCGATGTGTTGTACTACTATGGTAACATACCATCAAACAGAGCGCCATCGCTATAGCGCTTATAGCGCTGGCGCTCTGTGTGACGGTATGTTACCACAGTAGTATATCACATCTCGGCGTCATAGCGTAGCGCTCTGATGCGCGCTAATTACGCGTTTTGTTTGACGAAGCCTTTAGTGTCAAAGTTATGCCTATATCGACCGTGAAGCAGCTACGCGTTCAGTGTGCTTAGTGTTAGTTTTTAACGTTCTCGTTAGCGTTAAAGTTAACTCAAATTTGTATGCAGTTGGAACAGCGCCCCTAGCGACAAACGTAGGCAAGCGTTCCAACTCCATACAAATTTAAGGTAACTTTTACGCTATCGAGATCGTTAAAAACGGGACGCCTGGCAGATGTGAAACATCGACATTATTTTGTAAAAGTAATATGCAGAAAAGAACAGATTGTGATAGAAACTAAATATGTTATAATGATAAAATAAAATATTACCAAAAAATAATTTGTTTTCAAGTAAAACACAGGTTATGTGTACTGTAGTAAACAACACTGTATACACTACGGAGTATACACTATAGGTATCCGACCTCAGTGTAGCGAGAGAGATGGCTTAACGCCGGATCGATTGGGAGAGAATCGCACAGTCGATTGCGCATGGCGACGCGTCGCCAAGGCATGCGTCGCCACGCCAGAAATCGGTTTTACATGCGGCTATAGATGTTTCACATCAAAAAACTCGCACTAAGCACACTGTACGTCAAGCACGAGAATCTGTCGAATTCGTAATGTAAATGTATCGAGTCTTCGATACGAAAACGGATCATTACATTAAATGGTAGTACTAGATAGTCAGTCTTCGAGATTTACGTTACCGTATGTCAAAACAATTTTCGTGCTCTCGATTATGAGTATAAGTTTCGAATTTCGAGAACGTGAAATTGAGTTAATTCATACGTGGCTACTGAAATTAATTCTTTTTACGGACGGTAGGGCGCTGTTTTAAATCTTAAACATTTTTTCTCGATAGCGATACGAATAGTTTTTCGATAGTCATTCGTGCTCGCTCCTCCGGCACGAAGGTCGGGACAGCGTTATGCAACAGAGTCGAGAGTTCAAAGTCACACTATGTGACGGTCGTGTTTACATTGTGACGCCCATGAACTTTAGTGATTTAGAAATCCTTAACGGTAGTGGAACTTATTCGTGAAGCATCACCATCCGATCGAGGGCGCGTGACAACCGTTTGATTGAAGAATAATACAGCGGTTATAATAGAGATGGTTCCAACTTGAGGTCTGAAAACGGGGCGACATTCAAATTGATGATATGGCCTCAGTGGCTGATAGTGACAAGGCGGGTCGTGGGCTCGTTGGCACGTCGAAATCTAGACAAGTTGAGATTTCAATAGCATTTTTTTTTAGATTGAACATGATGATGGCTACTCCACATCCACTGCTGACATAGTTTTTTTTTCCTAACTATGCTGATAGCCTTGGGAGGCTATTTCAGCTTCGCCTTAACGTGTAGGTGAGCTCACGGGGCTCAAACCGGAAGAATTACTAGCTCTGACCCTAGCAAGAGCAGTGTTTCGCCGAATCTACCACCTAATCGGACCCGCTGAGAAGATCCGGCGAGAAACTCAGTGGGCTGTGTCTATGGGAAGACACAGGTCTTGCCCAAGCTATACCAGCAAGATTGGTCTAGTGTCGTCCGTGTCCGATTCCTGCGACCTTCAGCAGACCACCGGTCCACTTCAAAACACCATTTACAATTTTAAAAATAAAAACACTTATTATATTCAAATAAAGCCATTTGTTTAACTTGAACAAATGCGACAATGGTGACCGAAATTCATTATCGATTCAATTCTAGAGTGCATTGAGGTTTTGACAAAAAAATACAACAATGAAACGACAATTAAAAAAAGGGGATAAACATGATACCGGTTCGACAAACAAAGTACCGTTTGACAAACAAGAAAAAAAAAACACCGCTCTTCACAATCTGCCACATTACTGATGTGCAAATGTTTGCCTTAGAATGCTAATAAATGATAAGTGCCATGTTTCACGTTTGAAAATATTTGAAGCATTGTTCTAATTGATAATAATAATGTGCTAGTTTATAATGTGATGATAATCTTAGCGAAATTCGACTCGGGTCTCGAAGTCCTTGAATGAGCCGGTGTCTCAATCTTCGAAATCGCATAATTTAGGTTCAGTTTACATTTGAATTTAATATTCCAGTTGGGACATAATTTAATAACTCATTTTCTGTCACGTTAAATCTTATGAATTTATGTGTCTGTCTCTTTTTCGTTTCATCGACTTTCGAATCTTAACGACGCTAAGAAAATTATCACTTAAAAAAAAAAAAAGAAGGTAAGAATAGAATTATGAAATTCTGTTTTTAATTGTCTAAATTGGCCCGGTTGCTCGATGTCTGGCCACCCCAGTCGTCGCTCATTTCGATGACCATAGGCCCGCGTAACCAAGCGCTTTCTCTCCGGCCCATAAAAAGCGCTAATTAAGACATGAAAATCTGTTTATCAGAAATGTTCGTTTTTGTAGACACATAGATAAACTATGAAACATTTCGAGTGCTTATAATGTCGATGCGTAATGGATGAGATTATAGAACTTAACCAAAAGTAAAAGCCTATAGTTTGTTGAGTATCGATTTGTTAATAAGGGCAGTCGATAGAACGACATTTTTTTTATTTATTGCCCTTGTAGGCAGACGAGCATACGGCCCACCTGATGGTGAGTGGTTACCGTCGCCCATGGACTTCAGCAATGTCAGGAGCAGAGCCAAGCCGCTGCCTATCTCTGCCCATTTCTGTCGATTTATCGATTATCGGAATGAAATGA